AATGGCAGAGGACGACTCTAAACTGCCATGTTATATAACGTTTGTTGCAATGTGCTTTAAACTATGCACATTGTAGATTAAGTGGTCGCTAGTGTATTACTTTTCGTCACTTAATAAAATTTGGTAATATAAACCCGAACACTGTTTGCGACCGTAGCTGCTACCTTGACGTGGTGGTCGGGCTTGCCTATTGTGATGACCCAACCGAGCTATATTGGCTGGAACACATGTTCCTGTAGGTTCTACCATGCCAGGCAGGTCGATTGGAGAACGGTAAGACTAAAAGCAGCAACTCAAGGTCTGAGGGCGAAGTCGTACTGCTGACTGTACAGAGGTGTGACAGCAGTAAGGTGTTTCCCTCGGACAACCAGCAGGCTTCCTTGGCTAAAACCTTAGAATCTCGTACCATTGATGTATGCTGTGTCTCCGAAACACGCATACAGGATCCTAGTGTGGTCATTCACTTGACCTCACCTCGGCAAAACGGAGAGCCAACGAGATACACCCTCCGTGTATCTGGCGACCCGATGGCTAGTTCTCGTGGACTGGCAGGTGTAGGCATAGCACTTAGCATAAGGGCGGAACAAGCGCTATTAGAGTGGATCCCCGTTAACAGTCGTCTATGCGCTGTTCGGCTAAACGGCTCCGTAAGAACTCGGAAAGATAGGGACACACGTCGTTGCCTTTTCGTCGTTTCTGCCTACGCTCCCACTGACTGCAGCTCGGATGAAGTGAAAGATGAATTTTACAGAAAGCTTTCTGAACTTCTTCAGAAAGCTAAACATTCAAACATAGTACTCGTAGCAGGTGACTTTAATGCCCAGGTAGGTAGCTTAAACGAAACAGAAAGACATTTAGGTGGGTATTTTAGTATTCCGGCACAGCGAACAGATAATGGTGATCGTCTGCTGCAACTGTGCTCAGACAATCGTTTAGTTTTAGCAAACACAAGTTTTAAGCATAAGGAGAGACATCGTCTAACATGGCGACCCCCTGCACCAAACCAACGATGGACTCAAATAGACCATATTGCCATCAGTCATCGTTGGAGAGGGTCGATAGAAGATTGTCGCTCATTCTGGGGTACCTGCTTGGACTCTGATCATGCCCTAGTACGAGCACGCATCTGCTTGCGCCTCACTGGACGCAAAAAAGCCACACAAAAAAGACTCATTAGAACCGAATTGAGTAATGAGAAAGCCAAAAGTAGGTTCCAGGAACAACTGAGGTCACACTTAGGTAGTTCTGAAAACGAGACTGACCCAGATGTTGCTTGGAAAGATATACAATCAGCTGTGGAAACAGCAGTGACATCAATTAGTAATTTAAACCACAGGGTTACATAGAACCAATGGATTTCTTCGAGGTCTATTGCACTGATGGACTCTCGTAAACTCATCCCATCAGGATCTGAATACAATGAAGAGCGTAAACAAATCAGATCTAGATTAAGCAAAGCAGTAAGGTGTTTCCCTCGGACAACCAGCATAACAGCGATGCTGCCTTCTCACAAGGAAGGAATGGGTTAGAAAAGATTGACCCTAAAAATGTCACACCTCACCTTACCCCTCGGATTTCCGTCTCCGGCGGTAAGGCCCTTTGAAGAACGGAGCTAACCCATTAAAAACCTCCCACGAAAAGGCCGTGCGCGACCGGCCTCAAGCAGTTGTCCCTTGGGCTCTGCGGTCACGCACTCAGATCGCTAAGACCAACACTAATCCGATTTCCTTTTCAGGTCCCTCAAGAAATACCCTTCCACGGTGTGGGCAACCTGGAAGTGATATCAGCCCTCATACCCGTAACAACACACGAGACCAAGTTGATCACATTCAAATCCTTCCTACACCTCCTAATAACTCTCTTATTTCCACGACTAACCCTTCTTACGTCTCTTTATCACCTCGCCCCGCTAGTGCGAACGATTCGAGTACGCGGAATGTTATTCCTGGTCTCCTGAAACCACGCTCCAAACTACACGTAGGAGCTTTCAAAGTCCGAACACTGTGGCAGAACTGTGTTGCAGGTCGATGTTGCTGATGAGTTGGTCTAACGTTTGTCGATCGGTTAGATCACCGCGTTTAAGGATGTCATGTTTCAGGGTTTGGTATGGATCAGAAACACCACCAGTAAACATACTAGGTGTTACGTACCTGTTAAATTCGCGCGGTAGTGCCTTGACTACTGCGAGGAATTGTGTACGTGTATCGTTCACACCGTGCTCGAAGAAGTCGGCTTCTGCGTAACAAAACCAGGCTTCGATGTTGTCTGGCCAGAAAGGCATAAGTTGGAAAGAAGGTGGGGACACAGTTTTTAACTTAAATACTTTAGGGGTCTGTTCAGTCATAGTAATATATCAAGTACGAAAAGTGAACGAGTGGGAAATATATATATAAACCCAAAAACACGGGAAAAAATATCACAATGTTAAAAAAATTAAAATAAGACAATGATATGTAAAATCACAAAAAGGAACAGACTCACAGTTTACAATATGGTGTACCAGATCACGTCGGGCTCACCAATGAAGATGCCACAGGTATTCGGAGTTTGACAACGCTTTAACCAGTAACACCTTCTAATACGAAGCGCATCCACCAAGTAAAATCAAAAGACAGAAGTGAGGAGATCGAAGATATATTTGATAAGCTATCAATATATCGAGGATCGTTTGCACTAATCTGGCTAGCGATTGCGGCAGATGTTGAGCAAGGCGTTCCCACACGTGATCTGGTGCGGATGCTTGACCGAGCGCCTTCAGCTAGATGAGTCCACTAAAACTGTGGTCAGCACCCAATGTCGAAAACTTACAGAGCCATTTGATTTTGGGGAATTATTTACCGCTACAGTCTAACTACCATAGAAGTTCGGATATTTTCAACGGAAATTTGAGACAAGTAATCAAGTGATGTGGAATCACATAATCTGTTAACTCCTAGTTAACTCGGCTTTCGGAGCATACATTCATGTCTGACTAACTTAGTGATTAGAAAGGAGGGTTGGACAGCAACCTAAGAGAGCAGATTGGCTATCGATGTAATGTCCACAGATTGCGCCATGGCATTTGGTATGGTGTCTTATTTATTACTTAGTCAAAAGCCCTCCAGCTTTGAAGTAACTAACATGTGTGAATGAGTAAGAAACTAAATCTGTTATCGGGGACAGAGAAGGAAGATAAACGAGACATCTTTTTGGTGACGACCAGTTTAGAGTGTTGTGCCTCAAGTCACCATCTTAGGTGTCCTATTTCTTCTTCACAACTTCAACGAATTACCAACACCACTTCATTTGCTGACACTCATTTAGAGATGTTAAAGTCCGAAAGAGAAATACGTAGTAAGGCTGATAAATGTTATCTTCAGATTGATTCGGACAATTCAGTTGAATGGTCCTGAAGTTATGATTTGGAGATTAATTGTAGCCGCTAATAAATCATTGCCGTGTTCAGTATACCATCAGCAGTATACCGCTTTCACAGGTCCAAGCAAAAAGGATCTACGATTGCTAGAGTCATGACTGAAAAACAACTAAGCACTTCAATTCGGCAGTTGCCAAGGGCTTTGGAGAGTTAGGGTCACTTGGCTGAGCATTTAAATGCTTGACAAATGCATGTTTAGGGTTTTATACTACATATATACGAAACCTCACTTAGAATATTTCATCTGAACGGCTGTTCTACGTCTTATTAAAGACACTAACACATTTAAGAGCGATCAACTTGTGGGAACTAGGTCAGTAATGAATCTTTTTAAATTCTTATACGATTAATGATTAGAGCTTAAAGACGAACGAATGTGACACGGATGTTCAGGGATTGACAACGCCTTTACACGTAACACCTATATAATCGAAGGATATCAACCCAGTCAAATCAACAGTCAGGGATGGATGAGTTCGAAGATATATTTGACAAGGTTGTCGATGTGTTGAGAGGCGTTTTACCCAAGCTGACCAGTATTTGCATGGGATGCGTAGCATACCCACACGTGATCTGGTGCAGATGCGTGATCGAAAAAATTCAGCTGGAGTGTGTTCAATAAAACTAATAAGATCAGCGTCATTATCTAAGACATGCAGGACTATATATTTTGGAGATTTATATACCGCTACAAACGCTTTCATTCTGTCTCCTTATCCTATCGTAGAATACTAAGTGACCTCATATTGGTACTCCGTGTCTTAAAAGCCAATGAGTGTCAACATATATTGTCATGTTTCTACGTCTGAAGCTAATCATCTCCGAAGCCCTCACAAGAAGGTCCAAAAACCGTCATCGAACAAACTCAGATTGAGATATTTTTTTCATCGAGCGGTCAACGATTAGAATGTCTCATTCAAACAATTGTTATCAGTCAAAACAGTTAGCACTTTCAAGAAGGAGTCAAGTCCTTACCGGTAAACAAGCTACCAGCATTAAAAATGTCGATTTACATACAATCTTAACTACCTAAGACTGATTCTGTGAAGGTCAACTCAGGACTACCATTTAAAAATTTACGGGTGCGGCGTATTCCATTGTCCTGAGGTAGTTAACATGTCCTTACATCACACCAACTAGTTATTTTACTATTCCATACACACTTGGTTTGTTTCACCTGCTCATCCAGGTAAACTTTTCGTTGTTTTGAGATTAGATTGCAGTTCTGCTGACTGATTAATATTTTCGCTTCATGAAGTAAAAATGAAGACTGTAGTCTTCATTTATCGACAAGTTTTTATTTACCTAAAGAATTCAGCTTCCTGCATGGTCAATAGGCTTATTACTCAGATAATACCTAGTGGTTTTTCCAAGTGTCAGATCATTGCCTAACACCTAGGGGCTTGATAACCCCAACAAAACAGTAATTGTATTATGTACTTATGAAAGTGTTTACAAACTAATCTAGTATTCTTTTTAAAATTCAGATTACTGTTCTGTTTACTTACGACCTGCTGGTTACCATTGGTCCTCACTGGATTCGGCGACCCACTTTGTCAGGGTGGTTGCATAGTACTCTTAGTGAATGGCGAAAGGTCGTCTTTCTGGTTCTGATTCGTCGGACAGTGATGACGAAGTAAAGGTAAGTACTTGAGCAGTCTGAAATATGAAACTTTATGGTATCTAAACTAATGCGTATTCAAATGTTTTTATTTTCCAGTGGCTACAATCACGTCACAAGCAAAGGAAGCCCTCGGTTCCAAGCGATGAGACGACACATGATTCAAAGTCAGGTGGAATTGAGGAGGGTGAAGTATCTAGTGATGACCTCGATGAAGACGAAGATGATGGCCTGGATGACAACTTAATCGGTGGGGAAGATGATAAGCGTCGGTTGGCGAAAATGAGTGAAAAAGAAAGAGAAGAAGAACTATTCAAGAGGGCTGAGAGAAGAGATGCCATACGAGCCCGCAAAGCTGTAAAACAAAAGCTAAAAGAAAGACGAGAAAGAGAAAAGGCTCAACAGGTAGCCTCTTTATCCAAACAGCTTGTCGGAGATTCAAAACCTAAAAGATCTGCATATCACAACGTATTTTCAGACAGCGACGAGGCAGAAAATAGTGATTCAAGTGGTCTAGGACCGAAAGGCCTTAGACAACGTAAGATCGCCCTGGAGAAAAAGAAGGTAAGTTTTCCTGTTTGCTAAACCTGATTTCATACCGCTCACTTTTGTTTATTGTACAATTTGTCTTGATAGGTTACTAGTTATCACTACATTTTATTATCTGTTTTTTTTTTTTTGCTGCAAAACTGTGATCATTGGGAAATTCTTTTTTAGGTGGCTCACAGGGATAAGTTTCAGGAACTCATCGAGCGTCGCAAACAACAGGCTGCTAAAAAGCGTCGAACTCATACATCAGACGAAGTAGATATATCCGCCCAAAATAGTTCCGGGAGTTCGTCAGATAGTGATGACAATAGTCCAAAGCCACGTGGAAAAGTTCAGGAGAAACACCAGTCTATGTCTCAGCGTGTTTTTTCCTCAGAAGCATCAGACTCTTCTGATTCAAGTCGACCTGGTTCGCGTCCTGTGGCTCGACGTTCAAGGTTGGTTGTGAAATAGTTTGTAGCCTAAATTCCGTTTTGTATGGTCTCGGTATAATTTATGATAAGTTCTCTCTCTTAATATTACTTCACCTAGTTAATATGACATCTTAAGTCGAATACTTAAGTAATACCGTCCTTAAGAACTTACGCAGTTTCCATTTCCACCCCATTTGCATTTAAAAAGTAATCATATCATAGCCTTGCTCAGGGATCCATACTTCGGTGATTCATGGGAAATCTTGTTTAAAATTAGTGGGATGGAACTTTGAACTCATGAATCTGATGTAAGTCTAAGTTTATTTTCTTGGGAGTTGTGAATTTGTTAGAATCTTTGGCTGTTTAGTTTTCCTTAGATTGAAGGTAATTCAGCGTAGAGAATTTTCTTTTCTACGGTGTCATTTATTAAAGCTGTGACAAGGATGACGTGAAAGTGAAAATAATAATTGAAATATCAGGTAATTTGAGAGAGTCTGTCGGAAACTCTGGAATCAGGTTTCATGGTACTTGCAACCCGTCAGCAACATGTACCTGTAATCTTACCGAAACTGGCGGAATCGGTTTTTGTCATTTAGCTTCACAGCCTGGGGTGTTTCTACTGAGCTGTTTGGGGCTGCAATTTTGTGTCACTTAGACTAGCGTCCATATTGTAACCTGATGGATAGAATTGAATCACCACTAAAATGGGATTAGGCAAACACGACACTGGTAGCTACTCAGTGATCAGTCAATCGTAAATCACTAAAAACTTTAAAATACTCGGAAGAAAGTACTAACAAGTAATCTACCGAGTATGGAAAATTAAGTATTAGTTCCATGGCAGGATGAGAGCTTGGGAGTGTCACTTCTGTCTACATAGTTTTAATTTGAAACGATGAGTTGGTAGCGCCCTACAATGTATAGGTTATTGATCTGTGTTTCCTTCGAACTCTATCGTTTAAACATATAGATGATTGTAAAAACCATCTGGTGCGGTTATGTAACAGGAATCTACAAAATGTTCCAGTGTTGCCCTGTTGATTGTTTACCTTCTTTGGAAAGCTACGTGGTAATCCTCGGAGATGAGTTTAGAGAACGTTCACTTTGTGCGGTCAGTGTAACCTGTTCCATAAGAGCAACGGGACTTATAAATGTACATTCGTGTATCCAAAGGTGAAAGTTTATTTTTGACAAATCCACGCAATACAGTCGATACAAACTCGGCTCATTTAGCTTTGTTGATTTAGTTACAGACTTCAATGTAACTTCAAAGAGGATCTCCAATCGTAGCTGCTACCCTGACGTAGTAGTCAGGCTTGTCTATCGTGATGACTTAGCTCAGCTGTATTGGCTGGAACACGTTCCTTTGTGTCCTACTGTCAGACAGGTTGGTTGAAGAGCGGTAAGACTAAAAGCAGCAACTTAAGGTCCTAAGACGAAGTCGTACTGCTGACTGTACAGAGGTGTGACAGCAGTAAGGCGTTTCCCTAACAGCATCCTTAGCGATGTCGCCTTATCACAAAGAGGGAAAGGGGTTCGAAAAGGTTGACCCTGATAATATCACACCATTTTACCTCTTGGATTTCCTCCAATAAAGATACCATTCGCTATCAGCCTCAAGCATTTATGCCTTGGCCTCTGCGGTCACACTCCCGGGTCGCAAAAGCCATTACTAATTCAGCTACTTTTTCAGGTCCCTCATGAAGAAATATCCTTCCACGATGTGGGTGACCGTAAAGTTGACAACCGCCCTCGTACCTCTATCGGCACTTGAGATCCTATTGTTGGCTTTCAAATCCACCCCTCACCTCTAAATAATTCTTCCGCCTATACGACTAACCCTTCTCGTATATCTTTATCACTACGTGTCACCAGTGAGTTTACGAAATGCTATTCCTAGTCTCCTGAAACCACTCTCTAAACTACATGTTGTTGCTACCTTGACGTGGTGGTCGGGCTTGCCTATCGTGATGAAGCAACTGAGCTACAACGGCTGGAACAACCGTTCCTCAAGGTCCTACCATGCCAGACAGGTCGGTTGAAGAGCGGTAAGACTAAAAGCAACAAAACCTAGGTCCGAAGGCGAAGTCGTACTGCTGACTGTACAGAGGAGTGACAGCAGTAAGGTGTTTCCTTCAGGCAACCAGCATGACAGCGATGCTGCCTTCCCACAAGGGGGGTTGGGGTTAGAAAAGCTCGACCCTAAAAATGCACACCTCGCCTTATCCCACGGATATCCGTCTTCGGCGGTAAGGTCTCAACAAGTACGGAGCTAACACAAAAAATACTCATAAAAAGGTCGTGTGCGACCGACCTCAAGCAGCTGTCCCTTGGGCACTGCGGCCACGCTCTCAGGTCACTATGACCACCTCTAAACGGCTCCGTAAGAACCCGGAAAGATAGGGACACACGTCGTTGCCTTTTCGTCGTTTCTGCCTACGCTCCCACTGACTGCAGCTCGGATAAAGTGAAAGATGAATTTTACAGAAAGCTTTCTGAACTTCTTCAGAAAGCTAAACATTCAAACATAGTACTCGTAGCAGGTGACTTTAATGCCCAGGTAGGTAGCTTAAACGAAACAGAAAGACATTTATGTGGGTATTTTAGTATTCCGGCACAGCGAACAGATAATGGTGATCGTCTGCTGCAACTGTGCTCAGACAATCGTTTATTTTTAGCAAACACAAGTTTTAAGCATAAGGAGAGACATCGTCTAACATGGCGACCCCCTGCACCAAACCAACGATGGACTCAAATAGACCATATTGCCATCAGTCATCGTTGGAGAGGGTCGATAGAAGATTGTCGCTCATTCTGGGGTACCTGCTTGGACTCTGATCATGCCCTAGTACGAGCACGCATCTGCTTGCGCCTCACTGGACGCAAAAAAGCCACACAAAAAAGACTCATTAGAACCGAATTGAGTAATGAGAAAGCCAAAAGTAAGTTCCAGGAACAACTGAGGTCACACTTAGGTAGTTCTGAAAACGAGACTGACCCAGATGTTGCTTGGAAAGATATACAATCAGCTGTGGAAACAGCAGTGACATCAATTAGTAATTTAAACCACAGGGTTACAAAGAACCAATGGATTTCTTCGAGGTCTATTGCACTGATGGACTCTCGTAAACTCATCCCATCAGGATCTGAACACAATGAAGAGCGTAAACAAATCAGATCTAGATTAAGCAAAAGTCTAAGGAACGATCGTAAGCAGTGGTGGGCAACGAAAGCAAAAGAGATGGAAAAGGCAGCGGCTATAGGGAACATAAGACAACTCTACAAACTAATAAAAGAAACTGGAATTAAAAAGTCAAGTGTAAGTCAGACCATTTCGGAAAAAAACGACACTCTCATCTGCTCCCAATCCAGACGTTTAGAACGATGGGTGGAACATTTTAGAGAACAGTTCAGCTGGCCTTCAGCTACTCTACAACTACCCTCCGTTCCCAGACAGTGTGAATGGAACATTGAAGTAGGTCCTCCAACTCTAGCTGAAGTTCAAAAGGCTATAGTTAATCTAAAAGGAGGAAGGGCAGCTGGTCCAGATGGATTGGCCCCAGAGGTCTTTAAGAATGGTGGTCCAATTTTAGCGACTAGGTTGACTAATATTTTAGCTAAAATCTGGGAGTTGGACATAATTTGATCTGACTGGTCACAATCACTTATCGTCCCAATATATAAGAAAGGGTCAAAATCATCCTGTGACAACCATAGAGGGATTAGTTTGACTAATATAGTATCTAAAATACTAGCTTCGATAATTTTCGGACGCCTAACTAAGACTCGTGAACTGCAAACACGTGAAAATCAGGCTGGCTTCAGACCTAGTCGTGGATGCATCGACCACATATTCACCATTCGTCAGGTTCTAGAACACAGGCATACTTATCGGCGTCCGACAATGGTGGTCTTCCTCGACTTAAAAGCAGCGTTTGACTCTGTTGATCGAGAGGTTCTGTGGCAGTGTCTGTCATTGAAAGGCGTACGTCAGAAGTACATACACCTTGTGAAGGCTCTTTACTCGAACACTACTAGTCGGGTCAGAGCTTATGGCGAATTGTCTAATCTGCTTTTGCAACCTCAAGTGGTGTCTGTTAAGGCTGTCCATTTTGTCCTTTTTTGTTTAACTTTATCATAGACCTCCTGATGGAAATAACATTCTCATGGACTAAATTCTTGGGTATTGATCTACCAGGAGGTCCACTTATCGACTTAGAATACGCAGACGACATAGTCCTGTTTAGTGAAGACGCTGATAAAATACAGTCTTTTGGTAGCACTGACCAACAATGCCAGAGTGTTTGGGATGCGCTTTTCTCCCTCTAAATGCAAGTTGTTGCTTCAGGACTGGTCTGCATCAACACCTGAACTAAGGATAGGGAGTGAAGTAGTCGAACGCGTTGACAACTTCACTTATCTTGGAAGTCTGATCAGCCCTAATGGGTTGGTGTCTGACGAAATCTCAGCACGGATTCGAAGAGCTCGTTTGGCTTTTGCCAACTTACGTCACCTATGGCGAAGGCGAGATATCCGTCTATCAATTAAGGGACGAGTATACTGCGCGGCAGTTCGTTCCGTCCTTCTATACGGCTGCGAAACATGGCCATTAAGAGTTGAAGATACTCGTAAGTTACTAGTATTTGACCACAGGTGCCTTAGAAATATTGCTGGTATCTGCTGGGATCACCGGGTAAGTAATAGTGAGGTTAGACGCAGGGTATTAGGGAATGATGGTAAATCAGTTGATGAGGTTATGAATCTTCATCGACTGAGATGGTTGGGCCACGTGTTGCGTATACCTGGACACCGATTACCACGACGCGCAATGCTGACTAGTGCAGGGGATGATTGGAAGAAAGTTAGGGGCGGCCAAACCAAAACGTGGCATCAGTGCTTGAAGTCACTAACTTCTGGTTTGAGCCATGTTGGTAGATGCAGACTACTTGGTTGGGGTCCGCGTGACTATCGTAACCAATGGTTGGAGACTCTTGGTGAAATGGCCCAGAATCGATCACAATGGCGTCGGTGCATACACTCTGTCTTCCCTTAAACTAAGAGACTAAAATCACCTCATATCTTTCTTTCTACGAACTAATTCTATCTTCCTGTACTATCTCTTTATATGCAATCTTTCTTTTATATATTACCACCACTGAATCAACTACTTCTATGAATCTGGTGTTCATCTTGTTGTGTTAATGCGGTATGGCAACTTGGACCGATGCATATTTGTGCCTGGTCCTACGTTGCAGCTGACTGACTATATCAGATAAGGCAACAAGCTTCTTTAGTCAGGACTCTAGAATATCTTTGTATGATTTCCAAAAAGCTGTGAAAACGGCAGTGATATCTGCCAGTAACTTAAAGCAAAGGGTTAAGAGAAAGCAATGGGTTTCAGCGGCGTCTAAAGCACTGATAGATACTCGAAAACTCATCCCATCTGGGTCCGAACACGATGAGGAGCAGAGGCAACTTAAACACGGACTGATCAAAAGCCTACGTAATGAACGTAAGTAGTTGTAGGTGGCGGGAGCAGAAGAGATGGAAAAGACAGCAGCGATAGGTAGAAATATACGATTGTTCGCATTTATTAAGGAAACAGGTATTAAAAATCCGACTGTTAATGAAAATATCAGACTATACCAGACTATTATCTACTCTCAATCCAGATTTCACTGCTGGACTTTTATTTATTTATTTTAACACATAAGTATAGGTACAGAGAGGCACCAAGTACATATGCGCCACACGAATCTCAATTGATTTGTGTGAGGGCTGTGATACTGCCCGGGTGCCCAAACCGAAGCAGATGGTTTTCTTAGGGGGCCACACCCCGAGCCTTCGACCTGAACGTCTTACCCACAAGGCAGTGGAGCATCGTGAGGAGATGCAGTCCCATGATAGCCGGTGACCAACGATTGGTTCATACGCCATTTGTTCCTTCAGGATACTGGAGCCCATGTGCACCATTGGTTTGGGATCCGGTTGTAGCGCCGGACATTCGCTTTTCGTCCTCTCATTTTCGTAAACAACACCCGTGGTGCGAGAAGGCAGTGAGTAGGACTTCCCTGGCAGGGGCTATATACGCGTGGCCATGTGAGAGCATTTTGAGAGGGAGAGCGGACTCTCCCCACTCTCGGCCGTACCAGGGCATTTGGGGGCACTGCTGGACTTTAGTGAACAGCTCAACCGGTCTTCAATCACACTTCAGCTGCCAAATATCTCCAAGCAACCTGAATATCAACTTGACGCAACTCATCCAACCCTTAGCGAATTTGAAAAGGCTATAAACAATCTAAAGAGGAGAGCAAGCGGACCTGACGGACTGGCCATTAATTTTTAAGAATGGTAGTCCAGTTTTGGCAGTTAGATTAATTGGAATCTTAGCTAAAGTGGACGCAATCCCATCTGACTGGACTTGATCGCTGATTTCCCCAGTTGAGAAGAACGAACATAACTCCTCTTGTGACAATCACAGAGGAATCATTCTAATATCGTGTCTAAAATATTAGTCCCAATAATATTTCGACGTCTAACTAGAACTTGTGAAGGGCGAACCCGAGAAAACTAGGTCGGTTTCAGTCCTGCACGTAGATGTGTAGACCAGATACTCATCATTCAGTAGGTCCTGGAACATAAGCATACTTTTCGACGTCCGAACCTAGTTGTATTCCTTGAGCTTAAGACGACGTTCGACTCTCGATTGTGAGGTTTTTTGGCAATATCTCATTGAAAGGCGTACTAGAGGAGTACATTAACCTTTACAGCCTCTCTGCTCAAACACTACCGGTCGAGTCAGAAGTTATGACGAACTGTCCCCATAATTGGTTACTTCAAATGGTGTTTGTTAAGGTTGTCTGATTTCTCTATTTAACTTTCTAATAGACATGCTTTCAGAGATAACACTTTCACTGTTCGACTTATCAGAGATTGGTCTTCTATCAGGAAATTTCCTTGTTGGTTTAGAATACTCAGATGATATTGTTATGTTTAGTGAAAATGTAGAATCTTCTGGCCACCTTGAGCAACAATGCAAACATGCCAAATGCAAAATTTTACTTTAGGATTGGCTTGCGCCAGCGTCTAGATCAATGGTAGGATGTAAAGTAGTCAAAATGATCGATCGCTTCACTTATCTTATCAGTCCTGATGGTCTGGTGTCTGAGGAAATCTCCGCACGGATTCAGAAGGCTCGATTTGCTTTCTCCAACTAACGTCACTTATAGCGTAGGCGTGACATCTGTTAATCATGTAAATGACGAGTTTACTACACTGCAGTTTGCTCCGTTCTACTTCATAGTTATGAAATATGGTCATTAAGAATAGATATCCACAGGTTACTGGCATTCGGTCATAGGCGTCTTCGAACCATTGTTCGTGTATTTTGGAACCATGGAGTAAGTAATATCTGGGTTAGGAATAAGGTATTGGGTAAGAATGGGAAGTCGGTTGATGAGGCAGTAAATTTTCATCAACTGAGGTGGTTGGGCACATGTTACGTGTGCCGAAGACATGGCTTCTTTCCATGAAGTCATAGATGTTGACTCTCTGGTCGAGGTCCGGGTGATTATCGTAACCAGTGGTTTGAGACTTTGAGTGACATGACTCAAAATCGTCTGCAATGGTGCATGTGCATCTATCCTTTGTCTTCAACCAAACTCTAAGCTTCTGATTTCCTCATGACACTTCTGTTTTTATTTGATTGATTTATTTCTCATTGAATCATATCTTTGATGCCTAATCTTTTCAATCACCACTCATACTGTCAATGCCTCTACTATTCTGGGATTCAGTCTGACGATTTCATCTTTGTGATAATGGGGTATGGCAATTTGAACCGATGTACACATGTACCAGGTTCTACGTGGTGACTGGCTGACAAGGAAAACAATATCATTTGTTGTGGATTCATTTTTCACAAACATTCTCCTAATGAAGATGGTTTTTTATGTTATGATATCGAAAGTAGTAACCTTAGTGTTAGTGTTCCAAACACTGAAACGTTCACAACGGCTTACATCTAATCACTTTATTTTCCGCTCTATCTCGTTTCAATATCTCTTTATACATACATTTATACAGATATATGTCCATCATTTGTGATAAAAATATTGACCTTATTGTCATTGTGAATAAATTCACTGGTTATAATCAGTCAGTTAAATATATGTGAGAAACTGGTGAATCCGCAATTTTAATTTATTGGTGTTTTATTATCAGAAGGGATTGTGTGGAGATTTTAGAAATTTCACTGGTTGAAATCATGAATCCATTGAAGCTAGACCACCATGGAAAACCTGGAAGCACTGGACGGCCGTTTCGTCCTAGTATGGGACTCCTCAGCAGTGCGCATCCACGATTCAACCAGGTCTGTTGTGAGATATCAGCTCACTGAAGACAATGGTGTACGGTGGCGCAACTTCGTGGATTGGTTGAAGTTAGAAATTAACACCGTTGGATGCCGGCTCAGTGGTCTAGTTGGTTAAGCGCCTGGCGCGAGACTGATAGGTCCTGGGTTCGAATCTCGCGAGGAGCGGGATCGTGGATGCGCACTGCTGAGGAGTCCCATACTAGGACGAAACGGCCGTCCAGTGCTTCCAGGTTTTCCATGGTGGTCTAGCTTCAATTGATTCATGATTTCAGCCAGTGTTATTGGTGTTTTATTAAAAAGAAGTCTAGATGGTATCAAGCTTTATTATTTGCCTATATGGGCTACTGACGAGTCTTAAGCTGTACAATAATAGTGCGTTGATTTCAACCACTACATCCATAAATATCACAATAAAAGTTGGGGAAGAATTAAAAGGTTTTAGAAAATATTAAAATATAATATTAAGTTTTTATTTATTATGTGAACTAAATGTATTTTTGCTAATTCTGTCTTCATTTGTTTCATTTCAGCTTACAACCTTATATCCGTTTTTTTATGACTCAGCACCATTTTCTGATTAGCATTGATTAACAGTCAGGAAATTCACAGATTGTTGTCATACCGCTCTTATTTTAGGTTTATTGTTGTACTTTACTGGATTCTGTATCAGATTTAGTGAGAGATCAACGTAACACCTTCCTAACTATCGTTGATAATGTATTAGTTATAAGGAATTATTCTATTAGAGTGAAACAACATACTTCTAAGTGTTATCGCCATATCCGGATTATTGGTCTCTATCAACAATACTTCCCAAAACTATCATTCGTTTATCAACGTTGAAAGAAAAAGGAAAACAAGGTGAACCCATAAAATTCGAACTTTGAGGTACCGGTTAAAGTGCTTTGGACGGGTTAAATAAAAGTACTATTAAGTGCTATTAAGTACTATTAAGCATATTTAAGATTCAGGTGACAATATATTGGGGGATTTTAACTACTTTTATTTGATAACTATTTCTTGGACAAACATTTTCATTGTTGATTTCACTCAACTTAGTCAAAGTGATATTTTATTCAGGGTTTTCTAATCGTTGAGGCATGATTATTTTCTTTTAAATTGTTTTGGTGGGACTCTTAAACTATAATGTCTTCTCTTTTTTAGTTTTTCAAGTTTGTCAGGTTCACAGCGATCTGGTTCTTCAAGTGAAGATGACGCTCGAGGCAGAAGTCGTTCACCTGAAGAGGAACTAGTCTCCTCTGTTGAGCATCTATCTCGTATTCGGTTGTCACGTTTTAAAATGGAAAAGTGGGTTCACATGCCGTTTTTCGATGTGAGTTTCTCCACATCCTACATATCTTATCACGTATGGTAAGATGTTACTAACTTTATTATGGGTATCATTAGATTCAAGGTATGACATGCTACATTTGTCTTAAAATAATTTTAAAGTAAAAACTTAACCAAACAAGCTTTAAAAAGTAAACAATTTCATCTTTTGTGTAGTCTATTGTTAGTAACCTTCTCTAAATCTTGTGAATGTGTAAAAGACAAAGTTTTTTGAGTATGGTTTGTGTATTTTTTTAGATTGACGACATTATTATTTCGTTACTCAGTTTAGTGGGATGTGTGAAACCAACCAACTAATATTTCCAGTGTGTCTTTTTTATAGACAGCCTACTTGTTATACTGGTTTCTTCGATCAGTTTTATGAACTGTCTTATTGCAACCCAGCTGCTGTTATTAGTTAGTATTCTTGGACACTACTTGACTCGACGAGTTCCTAAGTTAGAACGCGGTTGAACAGGAACGTAATTATATTCCAAATAAACAGGGGTAAATGGAAGTAGAAATTACTATAAGAAAAACGTTAGTATATTTATTATTTTTATGCGAAAAGATTCAAGAGTCTTCTCCAAATACCTGCTAGCGCTGATTGGTTAAGAAGTAGCCAATCGTAGGATTCGGTGTAGAATCTGGTGTTAGGGTCCACCTGCGACCGCGTGACTGGTCTGTACTTTCGATTTGTCCATCTTCTAAGTAATAAAGAAGTGGTATCAGTCCTGTTAACAATCAGTAAAATCCATTCATTTTTAATTGTTATCTGTCAACTGTATATTTAATCATAATATTTTTGAGGGAATTATTATAATACGGTTAGCATTTGTAGCATTTAAAAAATATATGTTTATTTGGTTGGTCATAATTTGTAAGCTTTGCTAGAATAAATCTCCATACATGTAGCCGTAAATGACTTTCATTTATTTTTTAAATTTTTTTTCATCAGAACTTGATAAAAGGATGTTTTGTGCGTATCAACATAGGATTACATCAAGGTGTGCCGATTTATCGTTGTGCTGAAATCGTGGATGTCGTGGAAACTCCTAAAATATACGATCTTGGTGACACTCGGTACATAAATTTCCAACTGTTTTCGGGTCATATATATAAACTTATTAACCGATTATAGTTACTGATTTTTATACATTCAGTCTTTCTACATATGCTTCTTTATTACTCCTTTTGTCTGGAAGAAGTGTATATATAATATATATATATATATATATATATATATATATATATATATATATATATATATATATATATATATATATATATAGCTATTGAAGACCAAGAAATAAAAAGGAACTGTCGAAAGTGAAAAAATTATACTGCATTCAAGATGTAGTGAAAGATAAATAATGAATATATCCTTATCACTACAAATGATTTTTCATTGTTATTTGATGTGTCCAATAATTGATTGAAATTATGTAGTAAGCTCCAACTAGTAATCATGTACTTTGATCTGGGCAGCCGGGTAATATTGTAGTGAATGAAGAACTCAGGTGGGGAAGACCAATTTATTGTTTAGCGCAAAATTACAGAGTTCCTTCGTAAAGTATGAAAACTACATTAAATACATTATTTGCACATCTTCCTTCAGTTTTTTTACACGCTTCATGATTCTTTTAATTCTGTTGTTGTTACAATCGTTTACATTCCTTTCCTCTTCAATTCGATCTTCTCAATCTTCTGCTACCAGGTATTCCACTTCTGGTTAGTGCTACATACTACTTATATCTGTCAACATAAGTGGCATATACCACAATATTACTACTTACATTTATTGTGTTTCACACTCAAGTTCCTTATGAATGAGTCAGTTGTTAAAATAACCCATAGTGTCATTGAATAAGAATGAGTCAGTTGTTTTTCTTCGAAGGTACTTCGGAAATACACATATTTACATCTGACATATACATCTCGCATAAAATACTAAGTAGACTATATATATATATATATATATATATATATATATATATATATATATATATATATATATATATATATATATATATATATATATCGGATTTATGTTCACACGTTAATATTTCGCTTCGTATACGCTTTTAAAATTGAATTTTCATTTAGAAAGATGTTTTTTTGCTTGATCTAATCGCTACATCATATATATTTATCAAACATCCTGCTTTTTGTAGAACTAATAAAGGAATTGTAGTTCGTGTTGGGAAAGATCAAAGTACATTTCGTTTGGCGTTCATCTCAAACTCTGATTTTCAGCAAGATGAATTTGACAGCTGGATGCGGCGAATACATCTTGCGAACATGAAACCTCCGACTTTGAATTTTGTCCGAGATAAGGCTGCTGAAATTACTGAAGCAATAAATCGTCCTATTCGAGATGAACGCGTGGTTGAACAGGTTTGTTTCACATGTGCCTGTATTAATTTTATTATGATTAACGAGTTATTTTACTGTGTGAAATTTACATATGTGTGTTAGATATTCAACAAAGCTTTTTGTTATTTTTCTTGTTTCTTGTCACTTAGATCCACTATTAATGATGATTTCGTCCTATATAAGTGGTGAGACGTATAAACATGTGCTCACTTTACAATACTTTTGATATTATCTATCGGTATTCTGATTCATCGAAAAGTGACTCGTATGATGCTTTGCTATTAAGTATTTACCGGATTCTGTTTAATGAGGCTAATTAATCACAAAACATTAGTTGTCACTGTGTTTATTTGCCTGATATCTCAAGATTTTTTATTAGCAATCATGTAATTTTTTCGGTAAAGTGTGTTTTCGATCTTGTGAAAATTTATTATCTTCTCGAGGTTTGACGATACTTTCATTTCTACTAGATTCTTATAAAAATCTACATTTGAATGTAATGTTGTTTAATTTACATAGTAGCTGCAAACTGTTTACTTGTAATCAGTCACGATTAACCTAGTAAGAATATGCGTTAGCCTAAGTCCTCATACTACGTTAACATGGCCATCTAGTCATTCAGTCACCACGTAGAACCTGGTACATGTGTACATCGGTTCAAATTGCCATACCCCATTATCACAAAGATGAAATCGTCAGACTGAATCCCAGAATAGTAGAGGCATTGACAGTATGAGTGGTGATTGAAAAGATTAGGCATCAAAGATATGATTCAATGAGAAATAAATCAATCAAATAAAAACAGAAGTGTCATGAGGAAATCAGAAGCTTAGAGTTTGGTTGAAGACAAAGGATAGATGCACATGCACCATTGCAGACGATTTTGAGTCATGTCACTCAAAGTCTCAAACCACTGGTTACGATAATCACCCGGACCTCGACCAGATAGTCTACGCCTATTAACATTTCTCAATTTAATTGTCAATGACTTCATTTACCCGTGAAATGATGAGGAGAAGTTAAGAAGATAGGTAGCAATGAAATCTAAATCAATCGTATTAATGCTAGTGAAAAAGAATAAACATTAAACAATACAATTCAAAAAGAAAGCATAAATTAGAAAAATAAAAAGTATGATGTAGTATTGAAGTTCAAAACTTAGGATAAGGTAAAGAGTAAATACGTGTACGTCGCTGTGTTTGATTATTAACTTTTTCATCCGATGTGTCCAACCATAAATCGCAGTTATTGTGGGTATCCCATCAGATACTTTAATGTTTATTTTAGATTCAAATCGAATTGATCAACTTTAAAGTGAACTGGCTAAAAATAGCAGCATAAATATGATGCAAATTAGTAAAATACCAAAAGCGAAACAAACTTAGAACTAGCGAATACATATTTTGTACTCATCAGTTTTAAGTCCAGATGGATGGTAGGTAGTAGTGATATCCGGAATGCGTATTTTGTCTTATTTGCGACTGGCAATCTGGATGTACGTTCTGGTACTCGACTCCAGTACTGTTCGTTTGAAACGTCATCACGTTACCCTCTTATCTACTGAGTTCACATAACAAATGCGTGAGGTTTATTTCATTTTGTATTTGTTGTTTGGATGTTCCAATTGACGTTTAGAGCTCTCTCTTTGGCATATGTGGATCCTGTATGAAGCAAACGGTACTGGGTTCGAGTCCCGGAGTAGACATGAACTCTGAGATGCAGGTATATCCAGCTGATCAGCCCCAAACAGGAGAAAACACGCGTCCTGGATTCCACTGTTAACCACCATCCATCTCGGCTGAAACGCTTGTGACTTGAAGCAATATGGAGGCAATCTGCACAGAATGCACATGTCCCAATAACATTTTGATCAATTGCAATACGAAGCATCAATGAGAAGATTCGAATAACAAATACATATGAAATTGTTGGGATGATCCAGAAAAATTCTCTCAAAAGACACACAAGGATCAGGAAACATTAAGAAGCATTTCACCCAATCAGCGTTCACTTGGAGTTTAGTCAGAAAACATCAAGGATGTGAAACATCACATGTAGAGGTTCTAATTGGCTGGTTGTTACACCGCTGCTATGTTTAGTAGCATTCCAGAATCTTCAAGCAACCCAAGGACATTTGGAATATTATAAAAACCATATGTTTTCTGCATTAAAATGAACCTTGGAGTAAAGTACTTTTCGCATACTTTGTGCCTTCTCTCTCGTGTTCAGGTCGCTGTATAGTTCTAGCTTGGGGATTTCAGAATAGCTTAGGAATCGAGTATAGCGTTCAAAAATCGCAAGACTTATCAGAAATAAATATTCATCGCTTTAAAACTGTCATACCTGAGCCTTAAATGTTCCTACTGGGAGGTTTATCATCGAGTTCTACACTTTTTCGATAACTAGTAGTAGTGATTTTAAGGTACATAACTTCAGTGATCGGTACTCTTTTGACCATATATAATGTACATATCTGTCGAGTTCTGGTTTTACAATTATGTTTTGTTTACCCATATAATGCATAGATTCTCAGCGTACTAAAAGTTTAGCTAGTTTCATAGCTGCAAGCTGATCAATAATAGTTGAACAAAGGGCAGGGAAAAATGTCTATATGTAAAATTACTTATGGTGGTCAATAATAAAACTTGACAGTGATTGAGATCATCATTTATCGGCTAGTCAGTGATTAACGCGACTATTATCTTCTAATCACCAGTGAATTCTAATCATTTTTCTCGCTAATTATATGTACTAGAGGAGAAAAGCCATTCTTATGGCTAGCGATCCTTTGTTTAGTATCAATCTATCAAGCGGTTACATCATATTATTGCCATTTTATCTACCTAGCAGAATTTTGTTTATTTTAATTGTTCTCGTAGCCTGAATTATTCTTCAAACCTTAATCCATAACAACTAATAATGATAAAATAAATAACAATGTTAATTCAAAAAGTCTACATTCGACTAATCAGTAATTTATTGGCTGTAATATATTACTACATATGTTTAAAGTAGGTGTTACATTTCACTTTGTTTGTAGTGACACATTGATAATTTTTTATGGTCTTTTTTAACTTCATAGATCATACAATCCAAACGTCGTTTTCAAAAAGCTCCAACAAATTTTGCTTTACGCAAAGCGGAATTAATCAAACAACGAGAGCAAGCAGAAACAGATGGTGATACAGAATTATTAAAACACTTAGATAATGAAATAGAAGAAATTGAATCTCAAGCTGAACGAATTGAGAGACGTCGAACTTTAGGTTTTAAATCAATTACATCTATAAATCAACGTAATCGTGCACTTAGTGTGCAACAAGCTGAAGAAGCTATTCGCAAAGAAAGTGAAGAAGCATTGAATTCCAAGGAAGAAGATCCATTTACACGTGTTCATTCTCAACCGGTAATTGTCACAAAGAAATATTTGGAGAATTTACGTCATAAAAGAGTAAGTATTGTATGAATTAAGTTTTTTTGGTGCTAATGTTTTAATATCTAAGCTATCCCAGATCTGTTCATATTTTTTTTAAATTTCTGTGAGTACGGGGCATTTCATTTAACATTGTCTCTAGTTTAGTACGTTATTCATCTAACAATTCATCCTCTTATCTCTTAGTTGTTCGATTCATGAATAGCTATTATGTAATCAGGTAACAGAATATTAATGGTTTTCGTTTGTTGAAAAAAAGCAACATGTATAGTTTTTTTGTAGCATTCAAAGGAAACATTATTTTCAAATAGTGAAAAGAATTTGGTAACCTTTTTTGTTGGTTCGTCTATGTGTATTAAATCATGGAAATAGCTTTAAGAAAACTAAAATGTATTTTATTATTCAATTATTGAACGACAGTATGTAATGTACTCAACAAACCTAACTATTAAAAGGTATCAGATTAATTGTAACTGGTCAGTTCGTGTTACTTATATCAAGGTTCCTATTCACTGAGTGATGATCAAGGTTAAAAGAATACACAGGTCCTTAGTATTTCAAACAAATGGCTTCTCAATCACTGACACTTGTAAAAAAAGTGTCAAAGTTGATAGTGACTTTTATTTTTGATCAACTATATTAAAAAAAATATAAATTGATTAATTTTGAAGTTTATTAAAGATATCAATTGACCATATATAGTTTAAGTATTTTTTCGGTATCTCAGAAATTTAACACAAGAATAAAAGTCATCTTTTAATATAATAATGAATCAGTTTATCTACAAGATATTCAAAAATCAAGAGTTCAGAATATCTTAAATTACTTTGAACTCTTTCTTCTTCTTCTGTATATTAAAAGAATATCATCTCATGTCCTTTTGTTTTTACCTGACTAATTTTATCATTTTTATAATCATAAAGGGGTTTTACAAGTTGCATCGATTTACAATGATTCTAGTCTGTTTATTTTTGGATAATCAGTTATACCGAAATCTGTGGTTTCATGTTTGCTTCGAGTGTGCATGTTTGGGAAAATAAATTCAATAAAATAAGGTTTTTTAGTTGATAAATACTTTTGTGTTAGTGATAGAATATCAGTAAAAGCTTCTACTTATATCTCAACGTATGCAAATTGATGTTTGGTCTAGCCACTTCTTAATTAGAAAGATTATGAACTATAGTTTATGAAACAGTAGACTTTTATTAGATCTCTTGCCTTCTTGAATGTGAATTACATAGACACTAGATAATATATTCTGATTGCTTGGAGCAAATTATATTTAATTATAAATATGATCTGTAAAGTGAATAATAATGCCTGATACCATATGCTCAGGATTCAAACGGAACTGGATAAATGCAGTGCATTTTTATCTTAGTTATAAAATGATTCTTGTTCAATCACGGATTATTGTCATTTCAGTCCTTCTAATCTATGTGGAGAAATCTACACTTCCTTTGTTTCGCTTAGACAAACAGTTAACAGGTTTTTGTATAAGTTTCGTTTCTTCGATTTCATCCACCTTACTCTCATTGTGGCGAGTCAGTCTAAGTTGTGGTAGAGAAGATTCCTGATAATTTCTATGATTTGACAAAACTTCAGTCAAATGACGTATTTTAACTATTAGTTCACTTTTTCTTTGTATTTAATGTATATTTTTAAACATCAATTTAAGGTTTACAAATAAACATTTTGTGAACTTATACTAGTAAAAGTTGTCTAATGACTACTGTTTGGTTAATTTCATTGCAGCTTGGAGTAGTAGCTCAATCGAATACTTCCTGTGATTTGAATCAAAGTTTTCCTCCACCACCAACTCCTGAATCAGAGCTAAGCATGTCATCTAAGCATTCACTGTTGAATACACCAATGGGAAGTAATAGTATAATAACTGAAGCACCTGACTCAGTATGTTGGTCATTGGGTGATGATAATAGCAACTTGTCCACACCGCATGATTCTCTTCATGCAATACATAATTTTGAAATAAATATTGATTTAGACTTGGATGGAAATAATGATCAGGCGAATTCTAACGGACGCACAGGATCAACTAATCATGACGTACGACATTCAACTAGTCCTAGATCACGTGGTACTGCAAATTCTACTCATGATTTTATCAATGGCAGTCCCCAGACACCAATGAACGGTCCATTTGGAAAACCAAATCGTCGATTGTTAAATTTACAAGAGTACAAGAAGCGTCATGGATTAATTTAATTCCTAATTGATATGCATAGTTTGGTATTTTCCTTATCCAAACAATCATTTATCGCTATTTTTTTTCTATATGTGTATGATTAGTCTTATCACACCGGTTGTTTAACTTGGTATTTGCATGTGTATGTGTTGTATATAGACGTCTGTAAGCCCTTCCTTTATGCTTTACAACTTTTTTTGTGAAATGTACATAAGAGAAAAAAAAGCAATCGTAATTATCTCTTTATCAGTTTGCCTCTTACATGAATGGATTTTGTAATAGAACTTGTACTTCGTCAGAGGAGTTCATGATCTCTGTTAATAGGTTCAAGGAGACGTGTTTATTATATGTATCGGCTGTTGTCTCACCTTACCAGACATATATCAACTAGTTGCGCTAGTTCAGAATCGAACATATTCTTTATCAATTGGTTGGAACACGCTACGAAATGTTTTACGTATCCGTCAATTCGTGATAACTGTTTTCCCGACCGTAGCTGCTACCTTGACGTGGTGGTCGGGCTTGCCTATCGTGATGACCCAACCGAGCTATATTGGCTGGAACACATGTTCCTGCAGGTTCTACCATGCCAGGCAGGTCGATTGGAGAACGGTAAGACTAAAAGCAGCAACTCAAGGTCTGAGGGCGAAGTCGTACTGCTGACTGTACAGAGGTATGACAGCAGTAAGGTGTTTCCCTCGGACAACCAGCATCTGCAGCGATTCTGCCTTCTCTCCATGAAGTCACTGACAAGTGGACTGAGTCATGTTGGTAGGTGTAGACTACCTGGTTGGGGACCGCGAGACGATAGCAACCGATGGTTAGAGACCTTGAATGACATGGCTCAAAATCGTTTGCAATGGCGCAGGTGCATCCACTCTTTGTGTTCTCTCAAACTCTAATCTTCTGAATTCTTCATGTCCTTTATTTTCTTTCCCAATTTATTCCACTGGACTATACTCCTTTAATAACATCATCAAACCTTAATGTCCCCTATCTCTACTTATACTTTCAGTACCTCTACCACTATGGGATTTGAATCGATAACTGAATCTCTGTGCTAATGTGGTATGGCAACTCGAACTGATGTACGTACGTACGAAGTTCCACGTTGTTACTGACTGATAACTGTTTTACTGTGTGATTGAAATCAATTTATGCTTTATACAGTACAACAGTCTTGCTGTTTTGATCGGTGTGATACTTTTTAACTAGTTCGGTGTTGTGGTGTCCGAAATTTCATATTTTTAGAGTAATTTTGCGCACAGACGCAAAAACTACATTCCTGTAGAATCTTATATATTCTCAAATCTCAGTCTCAAGCTTACGGCGGCTTGTTCAGAAGTCTTAAGCCCTCTATTTCCTAACCGAGCGAATATTGTAATAAACTGAATAATAATAAGTCCTAACTGAATGTATTCACGCGTATTTTGAAAGGCTTACAATTTATCACAATACTAAATACAGTAAATCTGTTACTGAGACGTTGCAATTCCTTGTCTACTCTTGGGAAAAATGTATTGGGATTCATGCGCTTATTATCTGGTAGATAAATAAAATATAAACTAGCTGTAAAATTTCATTATTGAAGATGAGTAACAGATATAACTATTGGAAAAAACATTTACTAAATATAATTTTTAAATAATTACAACTTGAATGTATGTTAAGGAGAGGTTGCCCCCAAACGCCTTGGTACGGTCGAGAGGAGGAGAGTCTACTTTCCCTCTCGAAAAGCTGTCATATGGCCACGCGTATATACCCTCTGCCAGGGAAGTCCTACTCACTGCTTTCTCGTGGCGGGGTTGTTGTTTACGAAATTGAGAGGATGAAAAGCGAATGTCCGGTGCTTCAACCAGGTTGGTGGATATGGAGGATCCATCTAGAGTAGTTGGAAAACCCCGACTCCAAGCCAATGATGTACATGGGCTCCAGGATCCTGAGTGAACAAATGGCGTATGAACCAATTGTTTTCACCGCCTACCATGGGACTGCATATCGTTACGATGCTCCACTGCCTTGTGTCTGAGACCTTTAGGTCAAAGGTTCCGGTTGTGACCCCCTAAGAGAACCACCAGCTTCGGTCTGGGCACCCGAGCAGTATTACAGCCCTCACATAAATTGAATGAGATGACAATTATTTCACGAAATACTATGCTCGCTTCAATTAGGATTCAGACATTTCATATTCACACCAATCCTCTTTAACTTTGCCATCGATAACGTTCCGGAAACAGCTTTGATTGATGTAAATAATGGCGGTGTAGATCTGTTGTCTGGAGAAAGACTTCTCGACCGTGGGTATGCGGATGTTATTGTCTTACTGTACGATAATGCTCAAGCCATGCAATCCGCAGTTGGCAATTAGTGTCCGCAGGTATGGTATGTGTTTCGCACCTTCGAAGTGCAAAGTACTTCTACAAGACTGGCAGGATTCTAATCCTGTACTCACTCTGGATGGTGAGCAGATAGAAGTAGTCGAGAAGTTCGTGTATCTGGGTAGCTGTATAAGTGCTGGTGGTGGCGTGAGTGATGAGATCGGTCCACGTGTAGTGAAAGCCAGAGCGGCTTATGCCAATCTGGACCATCTTTGGCGCCTTCGTGATGTTAGTCTGGCTGTAAAAGGTCGGATCTGCAATGCGTCGGTGAGAGCAGTTTTGCTCTATGTTTGTGAAACCTGGCATCTCTGAGTTGAGGATGTTAGACAACTCTGTGTTTGATCACCGTTGTCTCCGAAGGATTGCTGACATCCAGTAGCAACACGATGTGAGTAATGCAGAAGTTCGGCATCGTGTGTTCGGGCACAGAGGCGATAATGCAATTGGTATCACTATCTTGAAACATCGACTTCGGTGGCTTGGACATGTCCTTCGAATGCCGTCCCACAGAATTTCTCGTCGTGCATTATTTGCCGACTCTGGGACTGGTTGGAAAAAGCGGAGAGGTGGTCAGTGTATGAAATAGTGTTGTATGAAAAATAGCTGTACAGGACTGGCTTCTGTCGATCATTCTCAACTCCCTGGTTAGGATCCTAGAGATGGTGCAACACAGTGGCTAGAGACGTTATCAAATATGGCTCAGAATAGAAGCCAGTGGCGATCGTGCTGTAACCTTCTTTTACTTCCTTCATAAAAAGTGACCGTAACTTCTTTAACTGAAAGAGTTCTTTCTAGTTGTACCTTTCGTTTCCCCGATTATTATTATTTCACCACCATACACTAATTTGTGGTCGTTATTGTTTCTTTTTTTTATACGCACCTTACATTCTTTATATCTTCACATTCTCATTATTATTGTGTGGCGCATACTTATCTGGTACCCCCTTGTACCAATATTTATGTGTTCAAATAAATAAATAAGAAGAGGTTCATTGTAATATTGCACAATGGATGTTAAGAATTTCTCGCTGTCACAAAATTTATAATAATGAATAAAGCTTATAATAATAATAATAATTGAACTGCTCATTTTCTCTTCTAACAACATCAAAGTAAAGGCATAAATTAGGTGTCTTATTTATACTTTGACGATCAATTTGCTAAGGTTTAGTGGGTATATGTAATATTATTTTTTAATATACTCTTTAAACTTAGCAGTTATAATCTAAATGTGTGAAGAAAATACTAGTCACGTTTACGACACAGATATTTTAAAAAATAATGGGAACAGTTTGTGGTTTGCACTTCTTCATAGATGCTTTACGGAATTTAACCGGTCAATCAATAGAATAACTTTGAAATGTTAAATAGTTAATAAGGATATAACTAAAAGGCAGTTTGTGTATTGTTAGAGATTGTCAGATAAATTTTATAGGTTATTCATCAACCTTCACTAGCAAGCTTAATTACGCTATACAAAATTGATATGAGCGATATCAATGTTAATAGGTATAAGAGTTGTTATCCGCATATCTGAGGACGTTTCACAAATGCTATAACTAAAAAAGAGCATATTTTCAACCATGGAATTACTTGTCATTCACTTGATGGTGGATACGATGTCGTTTCAAAATCTTTCATGATAGTTATTAAGCAAATAAATTGGAATTTGCTACACTTTAATGTATCCAAAAGGATATTAGTTAATTTGATTTTCTTTAAAGTAATAGCTGATTAAAATGGAGTTTTGTGGTTCTACTTCCAATGCAAATATTCCACATAATTTTTGGGTTATTTTCGGTTCATTTCACACATCTTGACACGAGCAATAAAATTGAGTTTGACACAATATTTTCCAAATAAATACTAATACAAAATATATGGCAATTAAAGCATAAGTATTACATGAAGGTCATATTAGAAACTTCAGACACTTGAATTATTCTATCCGTTCTGAGCATGGGAGCATAATAATTAGATATCTATCAACCTAAAACGATTAATACCTTTCCTCAATTAATTAGTATAAAACCAATCCAGTGTCTAGGTAGCAATTTAACATTTTATGGTATGTAACAGAATACAGGCCATTATATTTCTTGAATAAAAGAGAACTATACCATATATTTGGATTCGTTTCCAATTAAACCCTGATGATACAGGGCTCCTTCTAATACTGTTTCTGTGAAGTAATCTTCAAACAGTCGTTGATACTATCACTTATATTCAGTCGCAGGTAGCATGCTTTTGTCTATTACACTTCATACTCCTTTCATTTTAATGACAAGAATTTTATGAAAGGCAATGAACAGGTCATGCTAGCCAAGCCTTTTCAAAAAGATCTTGGGGAGGAATCAAATGTCTAAAATGTTTGGTAATATTTTAAATAAACGTAGCCAGTTGACCATTAATGCAAAACTCCTCGAACAAATACGAAGGCGTTTACCAGATGAAAAGCAAAAGTACATTATTATCATATATCGGCAGTCATATTCTTGTGGTGCCTATACCTGACTCCATTTATATCATTTTCTGATTGTTATAAAAATATACATGCCGCCAACCCTTTGTATATTATTATAGACTTAATTGGCGTTGAATAACGGAATAAAATAAGTCAAATATGAAAATGAATTTTAAACTAGTATGCTTCGCAAAC